GCTAGGATTACAGGCGTGAGCCACCGCACCCGGCCTATATACAATATGACAATATTCTTAATGAGAGTTATTTAAATAGGAAAAACTAGAACTGAGCTAAATAGAGAATAAACAAATTTCATACACATATATTAATACTTGATATGGACAAAAGTTGAAGATCTATAGTTAAGTATTAAAAGGAGTGGTAGAAGAGAGGTTTCAAAACTAGACCTATGCTATGATCTCAGGTTATACTAGTAATTTATGTATGATTAATTAACTGATTTTCTTCCTCACATTCTTATGTATTTAATATACTTATAACAAGAAATAGCCATTTTAAAACTAATATGAGCACTATCTTTTTAAAACTTTACCGTAAGCTGCAAGACTATGATGAAGACTAATATACAGAAAAACACTATGAATTGCTACGAAATTTCTAAAAAGCAATATGACAATATATTTCTACAAGTTAAAAATGCTCAAACTCACACATACACCTATACACACATACACACACCCCTACCTACCTACAAATATATATACATATTGGGGGAAGAGGTCTTAGAAGGAACAAGAAATTTCAAAACTGAGTAATAAGGAACACATTTCTTTTAAAACCACCATAAACCAGATATATATATTTCTAAACCAAAAACCTTTGGATGTATGGAGGTAAATCATATCCTTTGGCCCAGTAACTTAACTTCTAGGAATATACTCTGAGGAAATAATCAGAAATGTGAACAAAGATGTTCATTATATTTCTACAAGAGCAAAATAAGGAAACTGTGTAACAGCCAAATATGGGAATAGTACATCAAAACCCATTGTACAGCCATTAAAACTTGTAAAAACAATGTTAATAGTATGAGAAAATACGGTGTTATAATATTAAGTGAGCAAAAAACAGGAAGCAAAACTACACAGAGCTACATTTCAACTAGGTTAAAACAAACAAGCAAAGATTGAAAGACAACCACTCAAGACATTGGTCATTGGTTATCTTTAGTAGTAGGACTATTGGGTTTTTTTTTTTTCTTTTTAAAGAGACAGCATCTTGTGTTGCCCAGGCTGGCCTCGCATTCCTAGGCTCAAGCAATCCTCCCACCTCAGCCTTCCAAGTAGCTGGGACTACAGGCCTGGCTCTCATATTTAATTATAGATTTTTCCAAATGTTCTTCAATAATCAGATATTTCTTTCCAAATAAATAGAAAAAAATAACTAGCAGTTCATAGAGCATTCTACACTGCCTAGGTTTTAGTTACTCCACATTATTCTCCACAATTCCTAGACTAACAAAGTTGTTAATGAGCCTAAAATGATGAAAGAATGAAACAGGCACAGGTATGTGAGAGACAGAAACAGACACATACACATGCACAGGAGTGGAGAGGTAAAAGAGAGAGACATACACAGACATGTCATGAAAAAACCAGAGTGCTTGTAACTTCCATGTTTTAATGTTTTCACAGAGCAAAGCTGCCCACAGAAAAATTTTCTTTACTAGAAACTACCAACTTTCAAAATTAAAAAAAAAATAAGAAAATGCTAAAGTAAAACCTAACATCAGCTAGGCACTCAAAAATAAACACAGGGACACATCAAGTTGTATACATTAAATATGTACTGCCTTTTGCATGTCTATCATACCTTTAAAGTGGTTTTTTCCCCCGTCCCTCACCCCTATAAAGTGGTTTTAAAAAAGAAAAGAAAGGAGGACATGTGTTTGGCTCTCTTCAAAAGTGAGATACAAAATAAAAGAAAACCTTAGCTAACTCTTAAGTAAAAAGTAAAACACAGGGCAAGTAGAAACAAATCTAAATGCAACTATTATACAACATTATATTGTTCTTTAAGTGTGCTATTAATCTTTTTGTTCTCAATTTACACATTAAAACAATACTAGTAAAAATATATGAGCAAAATGTAATACATGACAAATAAAATGACAACTTATCAGATTTTGGTGGTAAGTGTAATCACACTGTGATTAATTTTCTAACAATCCACAGAGAAATACTACACGTGGTTTCACAATTCTTTTCTTAAAATTCCAAACTTAAGATAAAAGTCAATAGAATTAACATTCCACATGAAACTAACAAAAGTAACACCAATTACTACAATGAAAAAAGAATCAGCCAAAAGCTTAAATTCATTTACATGAGGTAACACTTACTGCTTACCAGGATTATGATGAGTTGCAGATTCTCCATTCTGAAATACGTCTCCTGCCACATTCATTCTACCAGGATTAAAAGGTCCTACTCCAGTCTTGGTCTGTGAAGTTAAAGATGGGGTGTATGTTTGTATATTAACACCAAAATTACTTGACTGCAGTCCGTTAGAGACATCTCCCAAGTTGGTATTCTGCAGTGATGTTACATGTGTAATCATTAAGTTCATATCTCGCCCGTCAGTATTTTCTAATTGGCCATCATTCACAGAGCTTACACCTGTTTCTAAGGTTGTAACATTAGCAATCTGAATTTCAGAGTCTGGTTCTGTGGTGATACCACTATTACCCATTGCTGCATTTACCTTACTTCTTGAAAAACTGGAAGTGGAGAAATCCACATCATTGGTTCTGTTTTTAGTCTCAGAAGGTCTCCGTTCAATAAAATTGGAGGAATTTTTCTCTTGCCCTTGATTTGTTTCCATGTCCTCTTCATCATCAATGACAATTGTCTCACTTACACTTCCCTTCTGAGATGCCAACTCTTTTGAGGGAGGGAGAATTTTGGAATCATTTCCTTGTAGTTCTTCATTTTTTGATGATGCAAATGTTATGGTTCTTTGATCGGATACCACTGGTGCAAAAGGTGGGGGAGGTTGTACAGGTTCGATAAAAACAACATCATCATCATCTTCCACAGATGAATTTTGAAATTTATTAGATCTAGACACCAAAGGATTAGTCGGACCACTAAATGAATTTCCTACATTTGTGAGACTAGTTGCCATGGCCGTACTCCCTAATAAAACAGGAGTCTGATCAGTCAATTCTAATCCTCCCACTGAACTTGTGTCCATGCCAAAGAACCTGTTAGGGGATTGAAAAAAAAATAAAAATGTCAGTATATGACTTTTAATGTTACTCTAACTGAAACCATTTTTTTAAAAAACGTACTTTTCCTTTTTATTATAAATGACAATGATTATTATCTAACATTCAGGAAAATATGTGATATCCATTCTGTGATCTTCTCATTCGTTATTCATTTCACATAGTTGACATGTTAACTTCTATAGGATAATAAGGAACACAATTATCCAATTTTTAGGAATCATATGCAATATATTCCCAAAACCACCACATCCTTTCCAGGGTACACATATTATGTACTATATAAACTACCTAAAAATATAGATAAATCCTCCCTCAGATTTGAATAGGAAAATATTCAAAATGTGACAATAAAAATAATCTTCAATATAAATTTATCCCATTTATTCACTGTATTAAATAAAATGATATGATCGAATCCCTAATTTCCCCTACCTCATCTTTTTTTCTTCTTTTTTTTTTTTTTTGAGACAGAGTCTGTTGCCCTGGGTAGAGTGAGTGCCATGGCGTCAGCCTAACTCACAGCAACCTTAAACTCCTGGGCTCAAGCGATCCTCCTGCCTCAGCCTCCTGAGTAGCTGGGACTACAGGCATGCACCACCATGCCCGGCTAATTTTTTCTATATATTTTTAGTTGTTCAGATAATTTCTTTCTATTTTTAGTAGAGACGGGGTCTCGCTCTTGCTCAGGCTGGTCTCGAACTCCTGAGCTCAAACAAGCCGCCCGCCTCGGCCTCCCAGAGTGCTAGGATTACAGGCGTGAGCCACCGCACCCAGCCATACCTCATCTTTTTTTCGTGTTGTCTGGCTCCAACGTAACTACAATTAAATCTTTCCGAAAATTTGAAATCTTTCTTGACCCTATCCAGAAAGCAGAAGTTCTTCTTTGCCAGGCACTATGCTGTGTGTTTTATAGTCAAGTAGCAGGCTCAATAACGGCTGCAAAATACATCAGGTCCCAATCCCTGGAACCTATACATGTTAGCTACCTCAGATGGAAAAGCAGTCTTTGCAGATACAATTTAGGTTACGATTTTAGAGTGAGATTACCTGGGATTATCTCGGTAGGTCCTAAATGCAGTCACAAGTATCCTAACAAAAGGGAGGTGGGGGAGGCTACAGACAAAAGAGGAGAAGGCAATGTGACCACCGAGGCAGATCAGAAAATATTGAAGTGATGCAGCCAAGGAATGCTGGCCATCACCAGAATGTAGACAAGGCAAGGAAGGGATTCTCCCCTAGAGCCTCCAAAGGAAGGTGTGGCCCTGCTGACATCTTCATTTGATCCCAGTGAAACCGATTTCAGACTTCTGGCCTCCAGAACCCTGAGAGAATAAATTCCTGCTGTTTTAAGCCAGCAAATTTGTGGTAAATTGTTACAATAGCCAAGGAAGCTAATACAACCCACTTTTTAGTTAAATCTCCCAAACAACCATTTATATCAGGTTTTTTTTTTTTTTTTGAGACAGAGTCTCATTCTGTCACCCTGGGTAGAGTGCAGTGGCGTCATTGTAGCTCACAGCAACCTCAAACTCCTGGGCTCTAACGATTCTTCTGCCTCAGCCTTCCAAGTAGCTCAGACTGCAGGCATGCACCACCATACCTAGCTAATTTTTCTATTTTTTGTACAGACAAGGTCTCACTCTTGCTCAGGCTAGTCTCAAACCCCCGGCCTAAAGCAATCCCTGTGCCTTGGCCTCGAACTACGATTACAGGCATGAGCCACCACACCCTGCCTATATGATTTTTGTCCCACTTTAACGATTAAGAAGTTGTGGCTTAGAGTTGCTAACTTGCCCAAGTCACCCAGCTAGAATGAATACCCAGGTCTGTAAAATTCAAGAGTTCAAACTCTTCATCATTCTGCTAAATTCAACTAATATTTTCTGAGAACCTACTATGTGCCAGGCTCTCCTGAAGCCAAAGACAGCAGAGTTAAGAAAATAATTTATAGAAAAAGTTCTTCAGCAAATGGAGAAGATGAGATCATAGGCACAGGTGGTAATATCACTAATCCTGAACAGGAATCACTTTGATCTCATAGGTCAAAGTGGGAAGGAAAAAAAAAAAAACTAGAAGGGGGAAAATGAAGTGTGAGTATAGACTGTAGGCAAATTTGTAGAATGGGAAGTTGAAATAGTTTATACATGGTAGCCTCATTTTCATAGTTATCTGAAAAGGTGAGGAGACAGTAGTTGTATAGGTCTTAAAGACTAGTTCATGGCCGGGCGCGGTGGCTCACGCCTGTAATCCTAGCACTCTGGGAGGCTGAGGCGGGCGGATTGTCTGAGCTCAGGAGTTCGAAACCAGCCT